ACATAGCTTTGTTTTCCCAGCTATGTGAAATTCAATAGAAACGTCAGCTCAACTCATATCATTTGTGGGAAAATTCTACTTCTACCAGTCCTTCATCACCTTAAACGAAATACATCTTATGCCTTTTATTTGGTTTCAAAAAGTGAATTACAGAGTTTCGTCAAATCACCTCACCGCAATCCGAAAGAGGATTGTCTCAGACTTGTGACTGTAGATTTGGGTGAATATAGGTCGGGCGAACCCAATGAACCTGTGCTCATTGTTTAGCTGTGCCGATTAAACAAGTGGTTGCGAATGGTACGTGATGTGGACTCAGTTATGACCAGACACCCGCATCCTTCATTACGTCGCTGGTATCCATGATCCTGAAATGTTGATTCATGCATTTGTACACCATCGCTCGTGCGTTGTGGACATGCAATACTGATGAGTCGTATGAGGTGTGAGTCTCTCCTCTTGGTCAGTGGTACTTATTGCCCTACTTCTCTCTCTCTCTTTCTCTCTGTTAAGCCGGATTACTGTTTGGTCAGCTATCGTTATGCAAATATAGTAACAATTGTGTGTGTGTGTTTGTGTGTGGCTTGTGCCTTTGTGAGGACAGAGATAAGCAGATATTGATAGGCCAGTGGGTTGTCTTGACTCCTTAACTTGAATATGGAGGTGATAGTGATGTTGGGGAAAGTTGGGTTTTGAGGAACCTCGTGGTTTAAAATTATTGAGCTCACTTCCATTTCGAGTAAAAGTGTGCAAAAGTGAAGAAACGACTCGAGACCAGAAGTCGACAGCCGATTCCTTTCGGCCAGTTATCGGCATTCTATTTCGACTATTCCCAAACGGTGCTAACCTTTCGCATGCAACCTGACGGATGGTATCATTTTTGCCAGCATATTTGGGCCAAAAAGTCAAGAGGGTCTTTTGGCTCTTGCTCTATCCTATGCAATAGAATGGGGTAAAATTGATTTGATACATGAGATGTGTTTACCTTATTTCATGTAAGACGGTGAAGGTGTGATTGTTGAATTTTTTCACAATCACACGAATAGACCTTACCAGTTAATTGTACACAGCCTTGCTTCTTAAAAGGTATTCTTATGCGGGTTGAGGTGGACTGCAGTTTGGACCTCGTCGGAACTCGTCTCATCAGCACCCACAGCGGGACTCGAATATGATACTGCAGAGTATGACCTCGGCACTGACCATTACTCCACATGACCACGGGTGCTCTTGAGTCAATGGGCAGATGTGAATGTCACGGAAGACCCGGCGTTTTGCCATATCACATTCTTTGGTGGGATTGTCGATAAAGCACAGTTGTATTTGTCATACCAATCGACAACATCACCTATTTTTCGAGACTGCCAGTAAGCACGTACCGGTGAACATGTATATTTCATGTATATGATTTATTGGTTGTGCCAAAATACTGGTTACTAACGAAGAATAAGTTAATTTGGTTTGTTAAACTTATATGTCAGGCTGGAAACATGTGTGGCTTTGTATGACTGTGCTTGCCCGTGTGTCTTCATGTGTACACGGCTGAGAATATATTGACAAGCGTGTAGGCTTTCTTGACTAGTCAACTGAAGCTGACTGTAAGAATGATGATGAAGGGTTGGCACGTTTTCACGGGAATCGAACGAGAAATGTGTCGACCAGAATATTCCATACATACACTCAAAATAGACGTGAGTTGATCTCCTCGAGAAGCACGTTTGTTGTGATGAATGGAAAAAAATACTCGAAGGTATGAAGACCTTTTGTGTGATAGAAGTCTCCTTTAGTTGTTTTAAGAAGTTGTTTGACCTTGTTTTCCAACTTGATCATGTTGGTAGCATCATCATTTCCAGAGTAGGACCATGGACGTGGTACATTCCAAGACGTTTCGCCGGAATCGTCAGTGAGTGACACAACAACTCGTCAAAGAGACAAGCGAAGCTGATCCTTTGACCAAATGTGTGCTAAACAGTTGTGGTATCTCCCCTTCAGAGGCAAGAGTAGAATATATATTATTTATATAATATATATATTAATATATATCTTGTCTTTTTGACGGGTTGTAATATGGTGCTAAGAATTTCGAGATTCACTGACGATTCCGGCGAAACGTCTTGGAATATACCATTTCCACAGCCGGACTTTGGAAAGGATGATGCATACATTGGACTCCGGACAAGGTGCGTTGCTCTACGTCTTCCTAGCAACATGACCAAGTTGCGAAAACAAGGTCAAACAACTTTTATAAAAAAAATTGCTCAAAGTCACGATAGACCGTCGGTCCTACAGACTCGCAAGAAGTGTCTGCTTGTTACACTCTCATCTCATCTCACTTCGTGTCCCTTTCACATCTTCCTCTGCAGACGCCGCCATGTCGATGCACTCGAAGACTGGACAACCACGCACCGGTCCTCCGGGCGCCAAGTCTCTAAAGGCGGCTGGACTGCGCGGGTTGACGGCAAAGTCAGACGGCCCCACGAGCGGTGGTGACAAGAGCTGGCCGGCAACACGCATGGGCCCGTCGCGACACTCAGAAGTCGGACATCCCATGGCAACGATAGTCCCGCCGCCGGGCGGAGGAGATAATCCTCTCCTCCAACAGACGACGCCGTGTTTCTCCTCCTCCTCCTCCTCCTCCTCCTCCTCCTCATCATCATCATC